GTCGCGCGGCCGCAGCTCGAAGAATGAGAGTGTTCTCCGTTCACCAGGTTAGTATCAATCCATATCAGTATCCAGCTATGCGGCTAACAACGATATCAGAAAAAGATCGGTAAATGAAGATACCAACAGGTTTTCTTATCAGTTTCGAGTTATAGTGATTATCATTGCTCAAGAGCAAGGTCTAGCTCTCGGCGTATTCAGCCTTCACGCTTTCAAGTGCCAACGAGCCCATCTTGAACACCAGCGCGCATCTTGACCACCGCAAGTAGCCAAGTTCTCTAGCATTTAGCACAACAAAAGGCATATTCTTTAGGATTATCACTGCCTTGGGAGGGGCTTAATTCAACGCGCTCAATGTAACTGGCGAACGTAGACACGTGGTCACGTGAAATACTCAATCGCTTGATGGTTTAACAGCCTCCCTCAAGCCTGTGCAGATCTTGCCAATCTTTGACTGTTCGACCTATGTACAGTCCTCATCATTGCGGACTGTCGGAGGCGGCTGTGCAGCGCGTCCGAATGGGCGTTCGGCCGAGATCGATTTAGGGAGGGGACAACCAATGACGGAAACGCCGCAGATGCGAGCCGCTGATTGGTCCCGACAATTGCGGTGATGTTGAGTGTATGTATGTAGTGTAGTTCGCTGCGAACGGTGGGGCGTGTCAGGCAGTATGAGTGTGCCACGGTGAAAAACCCGCTCTCCGCCAGTTGTTGAGGCCTCTGAAGAACTGTTTTGGCACCGTGCCAACCTCATGCTGACTGACAAGCCCCACCGTCCGCAACGAACTACACTATAATTCACTGCATGAACTTCATTGGGCTGGTCCATATCAAGGCACGGCGTGAGGGGTAAAATGGTTAGTATCACCCCTTTCCTCCTCGAATTTTCCTCACCCCTTTCCTCCTCAATTTTCCTCTCCACTGACATGTGTCACTCTCCATGTCAACAAAACAGTCGAGCCCGGGGGGGGGGGAGAGGGGGATGGGGGATCGTCACCGATCAACTACCAAAACCAGCACTTAGAAATGATTGTATATAGTGGCTAGCTCTGCAGCGGCTGCGCCAACTAAAGGGAGATCTCCCATCTACTCTGTACTTTGGCCCAAATTATGAAATTTATTTGTTAGGAGTTTCCGCATGAAGTGGTTATGTATTGGGAATGAATCTTAATATTTCTCTTCTAGTGCCTCTTTCCCCCTCTAAATTGGTGCATGTTCATAAATTCCTTTCTGAGAGGGGTGAGTGAATGGGGTCAAGATGCGTATCGTATTCAATTTAGAAGAAGTTTCAGGCGCGACGGGGGGGGGGCATTTTGCACTTCCATTGCTCCACTAGTTCCGGTTTGCATACTTTACCTGATGAAACCTGTGAACTCCTGTGAAGCTGGAGCAAGCTCATCGAGCCACAATGGTGAAACCTGTCAACTCACGAAAAGGCTCTCTGGATGAGGTCGACACGTCGAGAAGCAAAAAAGCACAATGCCTCCCCCCGTCGCCGAACTGCGCCGAAGTTTCACTTGAAAATACTCACCCAATCGAGATCGTGGCATGAGAAGGCCCACACAAGGTTCTTCGGCAGCTTTTGAAAGAAACAGGCAGGGTACAGTGTACGGGATGAACTTCGGGCGGAACAATGCGTCAGATTTACAGTCACTATCCCTGCAAAAAGACTGGCGGCGTACTTTGAAATGCAGCAGGGCAACCTTTTGGATCAACTCTTGCTGGGCTCAGAATGGCATCAACAGGTGGAATGCCGCCTGGCTGCACTTCAATAAACGTCCACTCGGTTTGCAGCGACTGCACCATTTCCATTTCACAAACAAGCACAAACAAACAAGCGAGCATCACAAAATTTCTTTCTGCTTGAACAGCACACCTTACGTTTCCAAGACGTAAATACATATTGTGAACCACCGAGAGCAATCCTTCCCATGTGCGAGCTTAATGAGTCCGCAGCTGAAGTAGCGCGGCACTTTTCCCGGTTAAAGTGCACGGACCTCATGGTGAGTGGGTAGCACCCGTGTGCCACCTCCAGACCACTCTCGCGCCCTCCTCACTGTGCAGCGTTGGCATAGATGCCAAGGTCCCGTAGCGAAACGCTCAGTCAGCGGCTTAAAATAAGCAGAAGTGAGAGGGAGCATACAAATATTGCGTCTGGCTAGGTAGGCGTGTAGCTGGCCGTGCGGTGGCGCGAGCGCAGTATGGAGATAGCGCTCGGGCAGCCAGGACACACCATCGTTGTGATAATCACAACGGGGGGGGGGTCGTATTTGGTCTGAGAAAATTTCCTTGATAGTTGATTTCTCTTGTTTCACGGACGCTGTAAAGGGGTGGGGTCGTATTTGCTCGTTGTTGGGAGGGGGGGGGGTCGTATTTGTCTTTGAGAGGAATTTGCGGCGTTGGGAAAAAACTTTTCCCGGTTGTTGGCTTTTTGCGGTTTATTTCACTGGTGTTATGTAGCCCACCTCCCCTCTCGCGTCCCAACCTCTAGTTGGTGGCGCCGTCAAACTATACAACTAAGAAAAGGTAGGAAGTTGGGGAGATATCCAGGAAAGTGTTAGTGTTAGGTATGGGAGAGTGGAGTCGTATCTAGGGTATGGACTCAGGTACAAGGATTTTTTCGCGAATTATCACAACGCGGATGATCTTGCCCTGCGGGCAGCACTACCAAACAGGAACTCAATCCGTTCACATTTTGTAAGCAAGAGATGAAAAAGGCCCGCTGGAAAAGCTGCCTTTTCATAACGGTACTCTCGCCCTGTGTGGTTTACCATGGCGATGAAGGGAGGCGCAGATCCATCAGCTTGTGCAACTAATGACAAGTATGGAGATAGAGGTGATGTGTTACTATTTGTAATTCTACTTCGCTTCAATAGGCTGAGACACGTATCACTACTACTAATCTAATCAAAGCATGTCCATGCGGTATGTCAGTGCGTGTGAAGGCAAGGCGAATATAAATATCACTGTGCAGTCCATCATGTCAGAAAGTCGGTACAAGGCCTGCGTTATCCTCTCCCGCAGCCGTAAGCGCTTCACAGCGTACCGCCAGCCGCCAGTGCAGGGCGAGAAGGAGCATTAATCGATCAGCGTTCCACGTCGTCACCAGCGCACGTGACGTACGCTAGCGGCACGACTCGCGTGCGCTCTAGTTAAGCCGAGTGGCACGGGAAGCATAGCTATCGATCTAGCTTCACCAGCGTTTCTCCAGCGTTTTCCCAGCGCTTGCAGCGACGGGGCTAGAGAGGGGCTAGAGAGTATTGAAGGTAGGAGCAGTATTTCTGTTATACCTCTAGGTAAGACGTAAGAGTATCGGGTGCAGGCGTGCGCTTGGGACGCTGAAAACTCTAGACCGATTGCATCCTCTCCCCGCACGGCCGCTGGCCACGTACGACTGGCCAAGCGCTACGCTACGCTGCGCCGCAAGTACTAACCACGCTAGGTGCGGCGGCTTAAGCACAAGCTTGCTCAGGTGGTCCGCCCCGTTAGTAGCATCTCCTTATCCTGCTGTCTTGCTTGTTGCCATCGCTCTCTCTCGCTGCGTCCTACCAGGGGGGAGGGCCAAAAAAAAAAGTCATTTTGCCTCCCATGACTTTCAAGGCGCTATAAGTTACACTTTATTAAATTTTTATCGGACATTTTTACTACCATATTAAAGAGCACATTAAATACTATAATGATACTCCGCCACAGCCTTCTGGAGGAGCGCCATCGAGAGATTCGCCGCGCGAAAGTGAGTGGGTTACCCCCCGGGGGCCGGCAGTTGAGCGAGATGCTCTATTTCTCCCGTCGCAACGCACCCACCCTGTGAGTCGCCCGAACCGAGAATTGAGTGTTCTAGCTTCGGAACCCCGCTTAAATACTAGATCTTTTCCAGGTACTCAACGTTCTTCCATTCCGAGTAGGCGGGAGTTTTTCCAAAACCCTTTGATTCCATGTGGTGGCACCCAAACCTTGTAGCCCACGCACCAAGGTCTCCAAGAAAGAAGTACGGGCGACCAACATCGTAAGGGAGGATATTCTGTCTAGGTTAACTTGATCGTACACCGCCAGCGCTCACTTCAGCGTGGTCGTCTGCCCCAAAAGAACACATAGCACGTCTTCCCTTTCAGGCTACACCCAGGTCCAACCAATCCAAACTCGCGCCTGCGCGAAATACGGGAAGCATGATGTCCTAGACCAGTGCGACAGTTAGCGTAGACCGCTCCCGATGCTGAGGGCGGTCTTGCAGCATCAAGGAGTACTAACCTCCAGGGCAGCTAACTCGTGCGTGATGTCATTACAAAGAAGTTTACGCACGCGGTTCTGGAGGCGACGGGAACCGTGAATTCCAAAGGTGTTCTCCAGTCAGGCCGCGACTGGAGATGACTTCATATTTTGGCGTACATGAAGGCGATTGGCGGCAGCCTGCTCCAGCTTATAGGGGAAGATCTTGGGTATCTTCCGCCCTGGTACTCATATCCACTTCCTCTGCTGGGCTGCGAAAACTTCGCTCATAGGTGACATCGGCCAGAATGGGACTTTTTTTTTGCCCCCCTTGTATATTCTCTCTCCATCGATGTTATCCTTGTCTCCTTTTTCTTCATTAGCAGGTCAAGTAGCACGTCAAGGTCTGGATTTCTACCTCGCTCCTCACTAACTGTTCGTTGAAAGGCTTTACGGGTAACTGTAGCAAGACTTCTTGAAAAAAGTCGAATATCGTAATCACTTTATTAGTATATACAAATTTCGTTAACCATGCAATAGTATTTACTTGAACTACTCGTATGAAATGGGCACAACTAGAGCTCAGTTCTGCCGGTTGAGAAAGAAAAGAAAGGAGATGACGTGTCAGCGAGTCAGTGGGAAGAAAACTGGTATTTATTATGTTAGCGACGTCTCAAAACACGTCACCAACGTGTCGTGTGACGTCGATGACACGTCACCTATCTCCTGACGGGTAACATGCTGCACCGCGTATGCACCACTGCTATACCTGTGCGTTAAGCGCTGAACAGCACTCAATTGAAAACCCTCAGATGTTCATCTTCGTCTCGTAAACCAACCGGCAACAACAAGAAGAATGTAATAGTGAACAAAGTGGCTAGTGAAAATAGTACGAGTAAAAGCCTATCGACAACGGACGCCAACTGCTGCCACTGCCATTGTATTCGTTGTCGTTCGTCAATTATCTGAAAATTTCTAATTTTACCTATTTTTACCTTGCGAATACCTAGGAGGCAGAGTCTGTGCTGATTGCATGGGTAAAGAAATGGGTGGGACAGGCCGACGGCGACGTCAACTCACTATTTACTCATATTTGTGTCCCCCAGCGATCGGGTAGAAGTAATGACAAAGAAGGGAGGCACAAGGCTGACTATCTCCGCCTACACGGCCAGCCTAGACCAACTCTCCAAATAAGTTCTACGTTGGCACAAGTAAAACTGAACCCCATTCAAGGAAACAAGCATAGCGGCTCGAACTCTTTAGTATTTGACCTATAACAGTATGAAGTTGACGTTCTTCCAGGGACAAAGAACTAGTTGTTTTATGAGGTGTTTATGATAAGTCGATAAACTTCAGAAGAGGATCAGAACAAGCAAAAGAGGTTATGGTTCTTATGGGGGGGGGGGCAAGAAAGACACGTTCCCAAGTGAGTGGTGACGAGCTCGACGACGAAGCTGCGTTACATTATGCCGAATACCTTCTCTCACGAGGATATCACTGTCTTACTCGATCTGAATCAAGGCAGATATTACATATCACTGTCTTATTCGATCTGAATCAAGGCAGATATTACAGCTGAGGAAAATTCCCCGAAAACAAGACCTCCCCTCCCCCCTAATTACCTCCTATGACACGACCCTCACCCCTTCCCACCCCATCCTACCTACCACTTTCATAGATTTCCCCAATCTTCTACTCCTTTTCCTGTTGGCCGGAATCCCCAAGATTTATGAGTTCCCCTAAATTTCGCTGTGAAGCGCGGAGGGGAAGGCGCAGGAGACGCGAAAAAGGTCGTCAGAAACCAAATACTAGTTTCTACTATCAGAAATAGTAATGGTATAGATCTTTGGCGGGGCTACCAACTAGAGTGATACAGTACCAGGGCACATCATTGGTTGGGGATTTTTGTCAAGTCCGTACAACAACCCACCCCCCTCTTTTAGGGGATGGCGAGCCCTCTCCCAACAACGAGCAAATACGACACCCTCGCTCCCCTTGACATCATCACTGGAACAAGAAAAACCAACTATCAAAAAGAACTTCTGCCCCAATCATCCGAAAACTGGACAGTTTTTGACCGACTTTTCCTTCGGGGGCACAATTGGCTAAAAATTTGTTCCCTGGGTAGTTTGAGCTCCTGAACATGAATATCACATCCGCTTGGTCCGAAACCTCCCAGCGCCGGCGCCAAAAAACCTCAAATCACCGGCGCTCATGGCGCGGCCGCCAGGAGGTTTCGGGTCAAGCGAATGTGATATTCGTATTCAGGAGGTCAAACTACCCTAGGAGACAACATTTGAGCCAAATCTGTCCACGGAGAAAAAATCGGTCAAAAACTGGCTCAATTCTGGATGACTGGGCAGTAAAGGGTAAATACTGCCAAATTTCGTCCCCAAATACGACCCTTCTTCCAGCGAGCAAATATGACCCCCTGTTGGAAAATCCCTAGAACGATGTGCCCTGTACGGCATGCGACCCTCGCCTCCTTATAGCGCCCGTGAAAAAAGAAAAATCAGCTATCAAAAAAAATTTCGCAGACCAATTACGACCTCCCCCTTCTCGCAGCGACCAAATACGCCCCTTCCCGCTGAGAATTCCCATGCGTACGACGTTGTCTGATCTGATTCATCGCGATCGTCGCTGTGCACGCGAAAACGGTGCTCATTGAAGCGTCGGTGGAGGCGTTCTCTACGAAGATACGTTCTGGCGCGGGCCTATCTATTTCTACCAATATCTGCTAGACCCGCAAAGGCAACGACGGACGGGGAAACGAGGTGGCACCGCGCCACATCGTACGTACGCAGGAACGCCCCCATATGACACACCGATAAGGGCTGTACGCCGCTCTTTAGACTTGGATTCACGAGAACTTCTTCAACCTTTTTGCCACCTTTACCCTTCGAAACCCTAGAATCCTTTCATTCTATAAACCAGTAACTTTGTGTGTCGGTTTGTATGTTTGTATGTATGTATGTAGGTTTGTAGGTATGTATGTTTGTCTGTCCGTCCGCAAAATACTTCACGGGTTCGAGTTCGCTGAAGGCGAAACGACCGCTAGGCAAACAGGCAAATTGGTGCGGAAGTATCAATCCAATGTTTTGATCGTGATATCGGCCTCCGCTATATAAGACAACCATTCGGTACACTCCGAGCCATTGCACGAGCTGCTGGCGTGGCAGCTGGACGTGTGCTCGTGCGGGGGCAGGGTGGGGTGGGGCCGAGAGGGGGGGGCACTGGGCGCCCCCCCCCCTCTGCTTCCTTCCCCTGCGCGTGCTCAGCCCGATCTGAGCATGCGCAAGAGAAGGAAGGGGACGGTCCGACTGGAACACTGGGGCGTTTTTTCAAGGTATGATATAGGTTATGGCACAGGAATATGTGGGTGACAAGAACTGCTAGCCGCTGATAAAGGGAGTTAGAGTGGAAAGGACAACATACTCATAACGCGGTACACAGCATCAGTTAGGCGTTGATTTCAGCAAATGATATCAAGGGGAAGGTGGAGAATGCGACGGCGGGTGACAAGAAATGATAACAACTGATAGGGCCTGATAGAGAACGATGCAGTTGTTGTTCAATCAAACGCTGGAGCCTCTACACCACGAAATTATGGAGTTTTAGTGATAGCGACATTGATGACGAGTGACAAGCAATTTTATCAATTGATAATAAAGATAAGGGGACATTTTCACAACATCTCTGACCACATACAGACTCCAAAAAAAGCTCGTCATTCAAGCAAAATTTTCCCACAGCCATCCACCTCCCTTGTGAGACACTAGAAAATGTACTGCATCCGCATTGGGGGATATACTTCGCCTGAAACAGGAAGTTTGGAGAAATCAAAAACTCCAATATTGGAACACACTTTATGCGTTCAGTGAGTATTTAAATATTTTTTTTGCTTTTCAACCTTAAAGTCATAGGTTCGCCGGGACTCGCAAATTGCGGAAACGGAACTCAAATAGGCACAAAAAAGTGCTAAGTATCTGATTAGCGGAGAAAAGCAGCAGAAAAAGCAGTCCGAAATGTTATAGAGAAAGATAACATAGTGGCTACTAGCTAGTAGCTAGCAGCCGGTGAGGGTCGGCATGGGCCTAAGGGGTGTCCATGGGCCTAATTAGTCAGCTTCTAGCGGAGTTCTTGCCGTTTTTCACATTTTGAAAGTAGCGCAGCCTCAAAAATCGCCTTCCGGATCGTCCGACACATTGTGAGAGGCTCATAGCCATTATTTATAAGCGGAATGTGCCTTTAAGTTGATGAGAACGAATAACGAAGTAGTTTGTAAGATATTCAACGAACGCAGCCTAAATATTGTCATCTGCAGCCATTCATGCAACCTTAGCAGGTGGATTGCATGTTAATGACAAGTTAATCGCCCATCGTTGGTGTTGTGATGCATGTAATAAAAACGGAATGTGTTCATCTACTGTGCAACATATATTGATATTCTGTACTTCCTATCTATTTCTGAGATCTACGTATAGAATGGGCGTTATGGCCGAAACCAGCACGCCTTCCGCAACCTGGGGTGCAGATTTCGCTAGGTTACTCTGTCTATTATGATTCGACAACTAACGCGCAATATGAGCAGTTCCTACAATTAACTAATCCCATCCCGTTATGATGTGCGGCAGCCAGGCCAGCTCGGCGAAGCCGAGCTAAAAAGAAGGAGGAGAGCTCGGCGTCAGCCGGGCGATCCGACTGGTCCCTAACATAAAGCAGTAAAGTCGAGCATAATTATTAAACAAGGACAAATTATGCAGGATCCACGGGGGTTGGCGTACAGCTTGTCTCCGGGGCACGTTTATCAATAATGTGGGCGGAACAACCATCTGACCTTCTTCATTGGTGCCACCTTCTATTTCATCGCGTAAGGATGTGAAAAGGAGGGCAAAATAGTTGACTTTCTCCACCCACAGTACCAACAGGCGGCTTTGGAGCTCTTGGAATGCCTACCTCTTCCCGAATCTCGTGCTGCTGTAAACTCCTATAAATTCGTTTCAATATTCGCCTGAAACGATGATCGAATTCCGATAGCATCACCGAGCGAGTGACATTGATTCGTGGCAGTATCTGCAATTGAACTTTCAAAAGTGAATCTAGGCTAACCGTGGAAGAAACCTCACCTGCTCTCCAACCATACTGCCAAGAAAAGCGCTTTCCGACTCATGCTGCTTATATGAACGTGGGCCACCATTGGCGCCGTTACTGCTAGCATAAGGCATCATTTCCAAGTTGTTCGCATGCTAAATGTAAGATAATTAGCTGGTTTAGTCAAAAAGCGATTCGTTTAACAGAGAGGTCTAGTCTCAAAAGAAGGTTACTTGGGGTTCTAGCCAGCAAACATGTGCCCTTCATGGGGTCGAAAGTGTGCAAGATAAGGCTGCGAGGTAGTATGGGGCCTTTGGGGTGTGCCGCATGCCTGCAATGCCGGGATGCGTGCTATCGCGCCTCTCCTTCATCTGACGTCTCGTCCGTAAGCGTAGTCTCTCTCTTCGTCTCTCACCGTTGCACCTCCTTCTTTTCCGAAAAATAAAGGGGTCTTCTTTAAGACGCTTTGGACGGTTTGCTGTGCTTTTCTCTATGGTAGAGTTAGCACTTTCACATACAGGGGGGCCAAAAAAGTCACTTTTCTTCATTGACTTTCGAGGCGCTATAAGTTACACTTTATTAAATTCTGATCGGACATTTTTACCACCATATTAAAGAGCATATCAAATACTATCATGACACTCCGCCACAGCCTTCTGGACGAGCGCCATCGAGAGATTCTGGCACGCGACCGCGATGTGGTGCCTGAGATCAGCGAGATAGTCGATTTCTCCGCCACCGTAGACCACCCTATTGAACTCCGCCCGAACCGGGTAATTGAGGGGATTCAGGTCAGCCCCTCCCATTCCAAGTAGGCGAGCGTTTCTCCAACGCCCTTCAATTTCGTGTGGTGGC